GGCTGTGATAATCTGGGCTGGTATCTGTGATCTCTTAGCGCACGTGGGACATCCATCCAGGCCCTGCCAGCTTTCAGAGTCTCCATTGAGAAGTCAGGTGTTATTTTAATGGGCTTGCCTTTATATGTGACTTGGCTTTTTTTTTCTTGAAAATTTTAATATTCTTTCTTTGTTCTGCATATTTAGTGTGTTGGCTATTTTGTATCATGGGGAATTGCTTTTCTGGCCCAGTATACTATATGCACTGTGTACCTTAATAAATAAACACTTCTTTCTTTAGATTAGGGAAGTTTTCTTTTATGATTTTGTTAAAAATATTGTCTGTGTGTTTGGGTTTCTTATTCTTCCTTTATAGCTTGTATTCATAGATTTGATCTTTTTATGGTGTCCCAGATGTGCCTGGATTTCTTTGTTTATTTACTCACTTAATTCATTTTCTTTGGCTGAGCTATTCATTTCTTCTCTGTTACCTCTTTTTTTTTTTTTTTCCTCAAGGCAGGTTTTTTTTTTTTTTTTTTTCTGTATAACTGTAACAGTCCTAGCTGTACAGGAACTAGCTCTGTAGAACAGGCTGGCCTTGAACTCACAGAGATCTGCCTGCCTCTGCCTTGCAAATGCTGTGACTAAAGGCATGTGCCACTGTCCGGCTCTTCTACCTTACCTTTGAGACCTGAGATTCTCTTTCCCATGGTTTTAATCTGTTGGTGAGACTCACCAACCTCTGAGGTTTTTGTTTGACATCCTAAGTCTTTCATTTATAGTTTTATTTCAGCTTGTGTTTTCTTTAGTAATTCTGTTAAACTCTACTTTCATGTGCAAACTATTTTCATTGTTTCATTCACTATTTGTGTTTTTACAGTCTTTAGGGCATTTACTCATAACCTCTTTAAGGTCCTTGAACATATCCACGATCGCCCGCCATTCATCTTGAGCTTCAGCCAGCGTTCTTCTTCCAGGGCCTATTTTAATAGGATGCCTGGCTTCTGGAGGAGGTGTGTTGTCTTTGATGTTCATGTTTGGACATCTGGAATCTAGGCATCTGCAGTTATGCCGTTTGAAGTATTTCTTGGTGTAGATATCTGGCCTTATCTTTGTTGCGTAGGTATTCTGTTCTTTGGTTCCAGTTGCCTGTTTTGAATCCTAAGCAAATGCAATGACTATGGGGTCCCAATAGTGTTTCTGTGATCAGCCCGTGTGACTTAGAGGGGCATTGGGAGGGAACTAGAGGGTCTCTGAAGTTGGAACCAAGATGAGGAATCCCAGGGAAGGGAGGCAAGGTGGGAGGAGGGACTCCTGCAGGACTAAGAACAAGCCTGGAGAGACTAGAATGGAAGACAAGAATGACAGTGAAAATTGCTACTTGTGTCCCAGCCCGGTGTGGACAGTGGGATTCCCTGGTAGAAAGTGCTTCTGCAGGTCAGCAGGTGACACGAAGTAATGGAGATGGACTGGAAGCAAAGGGAGATTGTGGGAAATGTCTAGGGGGGCCCTGGGTCTGCACCAAGAGGTGACAGGGAAACTACACTTTAATCTTTTTAAAATATTAAATAAATCAATTAAAAATACATGGAAGACGTAAGATCAGAGTAGAGGAAAGGAGACCAACCAATATAGATATGATTCCTCCCTTCTTCTCATTGTTACTGTTCTGACATTTACTCAAAGCATTTTTTCTGGAATTAAATGTCTATTGGCAACAAAATAAATAAAAATTAGTTAACAATTTAAAGTGTCCCCTCTCTTTTGGAACTGCATTCCCAGACTCCACCCCCTTTCAGCTAAGATTGGTGGAGGGAGTCCGGGAAGGGAGTGTAGCAAACTGGAACAGGACAGGCCTGAGGGCCCCTGGGGCACAGGGCTACCAAGCTGCCTCCATGATAATGAAGATGACAACGATGATGGTGTTAATGAAAATAACTGTGGTGCTTCGGGAGATAATTCGGCACCAGTAATGTATACTTGTTTTTCATACTGTTGGTTCTAAAAGTGTTTGAATAAATATGGGAAAATACTACTTTCAAATGCATTGAAAAGAAGCCTGAAGCCAACCAGCAGGCAGGCACGCTGCTAGCAGTGATCAGGAGCTCCTCTGACATTTATAGTCTTAGTTGATGTGAATGGGACACTTGTCCCTGGGAAGTCCACCCTGAAGTCTCAAAGGAGAGCGCACAGTGTCTGCAGGACACTGTCCTGGGGTGGGGGTGGGCTGTTTTGAGGAGGTCATGTGCAGTGATGCCAGCGAGGGCATTTTGGAAGAAGAAATCCAAGAAAATCAGAAGAAACCTTTGCCCTTGTCAAGGGTGTCTGAAGCCTGTTCTGGAACTGTCATTTAAAAGCATGTTTTATCAACCTTCCTAGTACCCCAGTCAGCCATTGCCATCCCAGGGAGGGAAGTTCTGTCAGAAGCATCAGAAGAAACTGCAGAGGACTGGAAGGTCAAGGCTGCCAGGTTACAGCAGAGGAACCAGAGAAAGAACGAGCTTCACATTCTGAAGCCTGGTCATGGGTTTGTGTTTGCTTGTTTGTTTGAGGGGGGCACATCCAGCCAACGGTCACATGGAATTAGAAATGAGGTACTCTCCTTGGCCTGGCAGCTCTTACCTTTTACTGGTGATATCTTAAAAGTCAAAGTAAATCTGAATTCTTTAGTGTTCTGCTGGTTGACTGATCACCGGTTGTGCACTGCCTGAACTGGTGTTAGGACTAAGTCTCAGCATCTGGAATTGCTTTTTGGAGAATGCTATCTCCTGCATTGTTTTTGTGTCTACAACCGAACGTGGGCAGTCTTGTACCACCATAAGTGCCATCTGATATACTCACCATATGTGCCATTTTCAAATAGATACAACAATTGTATTACTTGTTTTCATAACTTAGAGGCACTTGAAAGTTAGGTGGCTCTTTGAAAAAAAACCTTCATTCGAATGTCATACCTTAACCTTTAAGGCAGGAAGCTGCTTGAACCCTATGGGGAAATTTGACTATAAGAGTAATATTTTATACAACTTCTTTTTCAAGTAAAATTTTATGTAAACTTTTCATAGAACTTCTAAAGAATTTTTATGAAACTCTAAAAAAGAGAGTCAGGTTCAGGGTTAGAAATCATGCCATTAGTCAGAGCAACTTCATCATCAAGATTGGTGTGAATGTAAAGTCTGTGTGTAATGTGGGGACACTGTGAATGAGGGCACAGTGTCTGCCATGAATACAGTGAAAGTCGGGTGGGGCATGGCATCAGAGCTGAAGGTGTGGTTCAAGTTTGGAGCCAGCCCTTGGTGAGGGCTCACTCCAGGGTGTAGATAAGGTGGGACTGTGGCTTCATCTCACCTCCTGCCCACAGCTTCTCTATAGAACTAATTCAGAGTTTCTATCACAGAGTCTTCATCCTTCCAGCTAAAGCTTCAGTAATGGATTCGAGGTACACAATGATTCAGTAACTTTATTTTTATTTATTTTATTGTTTTGGACTATTAGAGGTTCCACCACCTCTAAATACAAAGCTCAAAACATTCTAGATGTTTCTCTAGATAGACTTCTAGGTAAACATATGGGATAAGAATATAAGAACATGGCCACCACTAAGAGGTACCCTCTCAATTTCATAGTTTAAAAAAGCAATTGGTGTTTAGTTATTCACCTTACTAGACATACTTATACTCACTTTTTGGCTTCCTCTGTCTGAATGCTTGAGGAGAGAGGTTAAATACCATCCCAAGGCATACAGAAAGATTATCTTCATGCACTAAGACCAACTGGCTTCTGAGTAGTCTTTGCAGGTACACTATGCACAGTGACAGTGTAAGTAAATGACTCCCTTATCTGGCTCCCCAGTGACTCCTGCACCCATCTACACTCTACTCCAAGTCTTGACCCAGGTGTCAAGTGGTTTTCTGTTCTCTGGGAAAAGGTACCAGATTCCCATTAACAGCCTGGGATTTGCCAAGGGGGTCCAAGGAAAAGTCTCCAACCACCATCAGAACCAGCTATCCTCAGAGAAGCATGCATCCTGCTTCTCTGGGAAGCTGCCACTCCCAGTAAGCTGGGGGTACCCTCCAAGTTGGAAGGATGCTGGCACACTGTGATGGTTTACTGTTACTCTGAACCAGATATAAACCCATCCCTAGTGTGTCCTCCATGACTCCCTCTCTCCCTCCCTCTCCCCTCCCTTCACTGTCTCTCTCCCTCTCTCAAACTGAGCTTCACAGATGTCCTTACTCCTCCGAAATTTTCCCATGAAAAACAATATGAAAGCACTCTTCCTCTGGCCCTGCCACTGCCCCCAACCTTCGTGTGGTCAGGCTTTCATGGAAGCCTGAACCATGATCTTAAAATTTTGTTTCATTTTTTCCCCTAACCTGGCTATGTATCTACCCAAACTTCCTAAAGTAAAAAGCCTGGAGCTCAAAAACAAAACAAAACAAAAACCCATTAGTCCATGAGTGACAGGAGACAGCCAATGCAATTGGAAAACTGACTGCTTCTGCTTCTATTTCTGGGGCCTGAGATCTACACTGGGTGATGGTAGTGCTGTAGTAAGGATTTTCCACCTGGTATATAAAGGATGTGTCAAATGGTTCCCGACATCCTATCCAACTGTAAAGGACCATGCTACTCCTATGAGGTCCATGGGGGTGTTTTGTAATAGAAGATCCTAAAATACTGTCAAGATGGAGCTGAGAGATGAAAATATCAAAGCAGGAGACTAAAGATGAAGCAGAGGGTCTGCTGGACAAACAAGTCGGGAAATAGCAATTCATAGAAGACTTCTATCTGCTTTTCTTTCTTTTGTTACCTTCCTCACCCAGAACTTTCTCTTTGGTCCCTGGCTGACTGAGCACACGACTAACATCCTACTCCGGCGTTATCCAGTGTTTTCTTAAAGCTATCAGGCTCTATTGTCCTAAATGAAACCTCTACAATCATTTCTTTTTTACTTGTTTAGTTAGGAAAATGTGATCAAATGCACCCCATCCAGAAAATATGGGAAAAAGAGCCAGGAGTCAACAAATTAGTATTGGTCTTTATTGAGATGTCAAGGTACAATGTAAGACCATGGAACAGCCTGAAGGCTTGAGGGTTCTTAGACGTGACATCGTGAGCCTTTAGGCTATGAGGAAGGCAGTTCACTGTTTGAGGGCTCTCGGGACTTCAGATAGGTCCCATATTTGGTCAAAAATTGGCTGCCCAAAGTATTCAGCTCCTGCTGGAGTTCTTGCAGAGCCTTGTCTTGTTCCTGCTGCTCCCCAAGCACGTGATTCTTGTAATAGTTGATGTACAAGTTCACCCAGTCATCCACCACAGTCACCATGCTTTCTTCAGGGATAAGAGGGTCACTAAAGACCTGGGAGTGGGGGTAGAGGGAGAGATTGGCAAGGGAGAATGTGGTCAGCAATGTGGAGTGCGGGGGTGGTCTTATAAACGCTCACATCCTCTTTTCTTGAATTTGTATTCCCTGTTTCTAGACATTTGGATCAATGCCCTTGTAGTTTCAAATGAATCTTCTGTACCCTCCCAACACATGCTCTATCCATCTCTGCCCTTTGAAACCGAGTGCACAGGCTTACCTGCTGATTCAGCAGAACATTAAATTGCTTTATTCCTGCAGAAATGAGTTCCTTATTGGTCTGAAAAGGGGCCATCTGTCAGTTAAAGAAAGAGGTAAAGTGTTTCCTTTTCTTTCACACCTGCCTATTCTCCCAGTCCTCTCATCCCTCACCCATCTCCAAACATCCCTCATGGCTGAGAGGGGATGCCTTCTTTCCTAACCCTTTCAAGGCCTGCTTTGCTGGAAGTCACATTTCTACCAACATGGGCTCACCTTCAAGTCAATGCTGCCGAGCTCGCCTCGTCCACACTCTTCAGGGTTGGGGTGTCCTCTGCACTGAGCTAGATGGAGGCAGAGTCTGGGGTTAGCTTAAGATGGAAACGCCCTGCATGGAGATCCTGAAGGCGTGTGATAGGTCATCCTGGGGCGGGGAAGGTGGGTGGTGAAGCTTCCCTGGAGTTAGAAAGATAGAGAGAGCAGGGGGAAAAAAAAAACAGATAAATGAACACAGAAAATGCAAGAAACAAACCAGGGACATAGCTTGCCCTTCTTGCCCCTTTTCCTACAACCCCAAACCAGTCTCTCTATTTTAAGGAAACTAACATTTACTGGACCCCTTTAGGTAATGGGCTCTTTTGCATTATACACAATTTAACAGCATTAGTTTCTCCATCTACGGCTCTGGTATTCATAGCAGTTTAGAAGCCAGACTACCATCCCACATTCAGGAGGCAGGGGAAAAAAAATCAAGTTAAAGACCAGTCCCAGGCTATATCCTAACAAAACCTTGTTCTCAAAAAAAGAAGTGCATGCTACCTCTCTCCCTCTCTCTCCTCTCTCTCTCTCTCTCTCTCTCTCTCTGTCATTTTATGTATTCCTTTATGCCAGATATTTTTTCAAGCATGTGTTAAGATTTATCATTATAAAAATCCCTTTAGAAAATGTAGGATATGTACATAATGGAACTTTTCAGCGATAAAGAAAAAACAAAACAAACAAACAAACAAAAAAAACCCCCCCAAAAAAAAGAAGAAGAAGAAAGAAAGAAAAAGAAATTATGTCTTTGCCTCAGTGGAGCAAAGGAATCTTTGAATACTTGTCATTATCTCCAAATCATCTGTAACATCTAAATAGTTATGTACTTGGCTGGCAAGATGATTCACTGGTACTTGCTGCCAAGCCTGATGACCTGAGTTCAATCCCTGGGACCCACATGGTGGAAGGAGAGAAATGATTCCCACAAGTTATCTTTTGATGTCCACATGCACACCATGGTGCATATGCATCTCTCTCACACACACATACACAAATAAATAAATAAGTAAAAGTAAAATAGTGTATATCGTTTGCCAATTCTGACTTAGTCCTCTATACATATAATCTGCTTAGCCCTCACCGTGACCCAATCTGTATGTACTACTAGTATGGTTTCCATTTTTTAGATGGAGAAACTGAATATCAGAGAAACAAGTAACTTTTGCAAGATCTCAGTTACAAACATGCCTTCCAAGTAAGGCCCTTGGGTGAATCCATTCATGGAAAGTGGCTTCAAGGTTTGCCTCATTCACAGGAGCTAGCATAAAGAATGCAACACAGTGTTGAGTAACCTTTGACTTTTTCACTCTTCCTGGAAAGTCATTTTTTCACAAAAGTGCTAGTGTTTATCTCAACCTCAGACAGACTCTGTGTGGGGTCAGATACAGTGGCACAGGTTGGCAGGGTGCTCCTAGACACAGTTCATGATGAAGCCAGCAGTCCTTGAGAATCAGAAGTTTCCAGAATAGGGTTGTTATCAGGGTTAAACAGGGTGTGGTTGGGGACAGGGTGGTCATCCAAGAATGCCAAGCTAAGGAACAATGATGTTTTATTTTCTGATTTAAAGAGAAAAATAAGATGCTTCTGGCAAATTCCTACTTTAGGGCCAGTTCCCTAAACTTGGTGGGAAGGAGAAAGAGGAGAAAGGAAAGGGGTGATTTTGGAGGGAGAGGAACCCCATGGCCTAGACTCTCCTCCTAACTCCATGGAGCTCCATTGCCATGAAACACGCAAGAACTTCCCTGTGCTTGTGCTGTTTTCTAGCACTATTCCTGCAATGGCTTCTTACTCCTCAGGGTCCTTAGAGGACTTTTAGAAATAACACTCTAATTTGGGAAAAGCTGAAAGACAGAGAATCTCTTCTCATGTATTAGGGAGCCAAGCTCTCTACTTTCTACTTGAAAAAGCCAATGACTAAGGGGCAAATACCTGGGCAAAGAACAACAACAACAAAGTGTTTGGAAAGCCAAGGAAACAAAAAGGCTAACACCAATAAAAACTGTCTTATAGAGAGGAAAGCCGAGCAGCAGCAAGTGCTAACAGCCAAGGAGATTTTTAAAGCAAAAACCTGATGACTGCTGATTTCCTGGAGCCACTCCAGTGGCTGTAGTTGGCTGAGTTCCTCTCTATCTTGATGTCTTCAGCCTGGAAGGGAAGTACGCAAGTTTAAGTCAATACTATCTTGTTCTAGACAAATTGGTTCTTAATGATTAATATATCTGCATGCAGAGTTGGGCAGAAGTGGTCTGAATCGAGATTAAGGTAGCAAAGGACACGGAGACCTGGCAGGGTGACATTGTTACAGGATCTTGCTGTTTTCCCCTCAGCGTCCCAGTCCTTGTGATCTCTATTAACTGAATTCAGGTGAAACACAGAGTGTAATGTAGAAGATAGAGTTTAGTGCATAATAATAAGGGATGAGAGTGGGCAGTGGTCAAAGAGCCATTATAGAGAAAAACTCTCACAGAGTGAGAATGGACAACGTTCAAAGAGACCATTGTGGAGAGCATGCTCTCAAGGGGTAGAGATGGACGGTGGTCAGAGGGACTATTTGTATCACCCTTCATGTTTAGGAAGGCTATTGCATGACAGCTCTAAATGACCAAACAGTGCTTGGATGGATGCATTTGGGCTCTTTCCTCAGTTCTAGCCCACTTCCATTCTTGATAGAGCCTTTACTCTTTCTTAAGAGGCTATCCACTTCTATCCCATGCCTAATTTAAAAGGCACGAGTTTTCTCCATTGCTCCTCCTGGTGGTTGCCAGGAGTTCTGCTCAACCTGTTCTCTTTCCCTCTTAAACTAATAAAACCATCCTCAAGATTCCTGTTCGTTCCATTTCTAAATGATTTCATTAAAAAGATTTTATTACCACCACCCCCCTCTGTGTAGGTGCACATCCTTGTGTTTGCCTGTGGAGGCCAGAACGAGGGTATCCGAGCTCCTGAAGTTGGAGTCACAGATAGTTTGTGAACTGACATGAGTGTGAGGAACCAAACACTGACTGACCTTCTGGGGGAACTGCATGTATTTAACCAGTAAGCCATCTCTCACCAACTAAATTCTCTTAATTAAAGAGACTAAGAAGTTCCCAAGGGAAGCTCAGTTTCCCCAGTAACAAAATAAAAACAAACTCTGGCAAAGAACCCTCATTCGCTGCTAGTGAGAATGTAAACTGTTTCAGTTGCCATGAAAAGCAAAAGAAACAAACAATAGAACCACGCCACGATTACAGCTCTGCTACTTGTAGGTATACACCAAAGGAAGCTGTGTCCTTCAGCAGAAATACTTGTACATCTGTGTTTAATGCAGCAGGATTCACAACAGCTAAGAAATGGAATCTGTCTGGATCTCTGTCAGTAGACAAATGGATAACCAAGTGTGTAATAACATTGGAATCTTACTCAGCCATAAAGAAAAGTGAAATCATGACATGTGCAGGAAAATGAGTTTAAGACTGTTTCAGAAAGACACATACTCAATGTTTTTTTCTCATATGCAATTCCTAGATCTGAACTTTTATATTTGTGTATGTGTGTGGGGGGAGGTATAAGTATAGGTACAAAGAAGATAAAAACCAAGTGACATAAAAGTAATGTGTGTGTGTGGGGGGGTGCGATGAGTGGGTGTCTATCCAGTAAGAGTCACACAAAGGAACAGGGAAGGGGAGTGGTGACAGCGAAACAATAGAAAGTATGTATAAGATGCCATAACGAAGCTCATTAAGTCACAAGCCAATTTTAACCATTTCAAAAGCTATATTGTCCCTGTCCTCACAGGGGTAAAAAGGCATCTGGGACCCAGAGAGGGATACTTTTCAAACAGCCAAAAGTTTGAGGTCTGAATGGGGTCTTGATCATAACTATTTCTCCAGGAAGGCGTTGTTCCCTCTCCCGGTTGTTGGAATTCACAACAGTCTGATTTCCAAGATAGTAAAGGAAGACTCTTGCTCCTCTGCGGCCGCCGTAGCCGAACAGGAAATGTAGTTCGTCTTGGTTTTTGCCGCGTTGGATTTGGACGGGGCCGCTGAGCCTGGGCATGGCTGACTCTACGAGTTTGCGAGTGCAGCTGTGCACAGAACAGTTCGGCTCCCGAGCCCCGCGCGGCTGCCGCGCTGCCGCCGACGGGAGTCTGCAGTGGGACGGGGCTCGGCGCTGGGGCTGGCTCTCCGGGGCCCCGACAGCGAAACCCGGGCAGGACGCGGGTGGAGGCGGGGGGCCCTGGGCAGCGCTGCCCGCTCTTTCGGGCCTCAGAGCCGTGCTGCTGCCTCAGGGCTTCCCAGACAGCGTCAGCCCCGACTACCTGCCCTACCAACTGTGGGATTCCGTGCAGGTCCGGCCGGCAGACTGCCGTGGGGTGGGGGTGAGGAGCGGCTAATAGCTGAGGACCAAGGGAACCGGCCCCTGCGGTCTGCGTTTGCACGTGGAAAGCTGGGGTGCACCGCAGAGTCCTGACAGTTTTCCAGGTCACACCACCAAGGAGTGTTGGTGTAGTACAGTAGGCCCCCGTGCTCCTGCGACCGCTCCTCACTCCACTTCTTTCCCCGCCAGGCCTTTGCTTCCAGCCTCTCCGGCTCCCTAGCCACCCAGGCAGTATTGCAGGGCTTAGGGGTAGGCGACGCAAAAGCCTCGGTTTCAGCTGCCACGTCTACCTGGCTTCTGAAAGGTGAGCTGGACCCGGGAGTCTTATCTGTTGCTCTCTTTCTCTCTCACTCTCTGTCTCTGTGTGCGTCTTTCTCTCTGTCTCTCTCTTTCCCTCCCCACCCCCTTGTTTTTATTTTC